TGTCGAGAAAATAAACAAATGTTTTTACATTTTAAAAAACGAAACATTCCAAAACATTTTTAAATAATAACATTTCTACATAAACGATTTAAAGTAGTTTTGCGGTAATTAAGTAAATTGGTGCAGTTAATGTCGATAAATATGAAAAGCAAATAAAAAGAATTTAATGACGTCAAAAATCACGTCGTGCTTATGCGTCGCGCAGTTCTTATTCATCGCAAGGCCTGATATATATATATATATATATATATATATATATATATATATATATATATATATATATATATATATATATATATGTATATATATAATGAATATGTATGCATCATATAAACATAATATAATGTATAAATTATGTATATATAAATAATAATACATCAAATTAAATGAAACCACACAGTAACTAGGTGTCAACAGTAATAATCTTAATAATTATTTATACAACCAGAGATGGAAAGATCATAAAATTGAACGAAACAACACAGGAACAACAAAATATATACAATTTATTTATTCATTTACCTATTTCTACAGCAAAGATATTACAAATCTTAGCATATATATATATATATATATATGTATATATACATATATTATAATATAGATATATATACATATATTATATATAGATATTACAAATCTTAGCATATATATATATATATATATATATATATATATATATATATATATATATATATATATATATATATATATATATATACATATATATATGTATATATATATATATAATATATATATATATATATATATATATATATATATATATATATATATATATATATATATATCCGATACTCAGCGGAATCAAAGCAATAGTAAAATAATTTTTTTTCCCTTTTAGAGATGTATTTCGAATAGTATACAACATTTATCAATACACACACATGCACAAACTTACACACACACACACGCACACACACACACACACACAAACACACACACACATATATATATATATATATATATATACATATATATATATATATATATATATATATATATATATATATATATATATATATATATATATATATATATTTATATATATATATATTTATATATATATATATATTTATATATATATATATATATATATATATTTATATATATATATATATTTTAAATGTAGACATCATGTATGAGAGTATGTAAATTATTATTTTATAAACATCAATGAATACGATTTCTCTCAATACTTAATTTATTTTTGATTTTTGATTTTTTAAAAGAATTTTTCGCTGGATTGTTGTAACCAGCGTCTTCAGCTTAAAAGACTTTGTTTGTTTTTGTTTATATATTATTTTTAAATATATAAAACTAAAGTTTTCGGGCTTAGCAGGTTTTAAGCTCTTTTGGAATCTAATATAATTTTAAATCTTTTGTACCAAGTTTCAGAATTGCAGCATTACTAAAAGCACCATATAAGGGTAATAATAAACAGAAACATTTTTGGCACTTTCAAGAAATAAATCAAGAAATAAATCCAAACTACAAAGGAACAGCCACCCAGGAGTTTACCTTATTAAGTGCCATTGTAACAAAAAGTATATTGGTGAAAAAAAAATGCAAATAAAAACATGCATGCAACAACACAAAAACAGTACAATAGGAAATAAAACAGAAAGATCAGCAATAGCCACACACATGAAACATTGTGCACAACAAATTAACTGGGACAGTTGCAGAATTCTAAAAGTCAATAATAAAAAGTTTGATAAAAAAGTTTGATAGGAAAGTTCGTGAGGCGCTTGAAATACAGTACCACCAATGTGCCTCTCAACAAAGTGGTATCAATTTAGATGAGGGACAATATGTGTCAACAAAATTCTGGACACCATTTCTAATGCACTTACGTCAGAAAAAGACGAAACCATTCCATTGACATGTAATAAAATTGCAGTTTAAAAATAACATATAAACAAAAACAAACAAAATCTTTTAAGCTGAAGACGCTGGTCACAACAATCCAGTGAAAATTTCTTTTAAAAAATAAAGAATAAAAAATAAATTTAGTATTGAGAGAAAATCTTATTTATTGATGTTTATAAAATAATATATATATATATATATATATATATATATATATATATATATATATATATATATATATATATATATATATATATATATATATATATATAATATATATATGTGTGTGTGTGTGTGTGTGTGTGTGTGTGTGTGTGTGTGTGTGTGTGTGTGTGTGTGTGTGTAAGTTTGTGCATGTGTGTGTATTGATAAATGTAAATATATAGATAAATGTAAATATAAATGTAAATATAAAGATAAATATATATATATATATATATATATATATATATATATATATATATATATATATATATATATATATATATATATATATATATATATATATATATATATATATATATATATATATATATATATATGTATATAATGAATATGTATGCATCATATAAACATTATAATATAATGTATAAATCATGTATATATAAATAATTATACATCAAATTAAATGAAACAACACAGTAACAAGGTGTCAGCATACGTAATAATCTTAATAATTATTTATACAACCCATGATGAAAAAATCATAAAATGGAATGAAACAACACAGGAACAACAAAATATATACAATTTATTTATCCATTTACCTATTTCTACAGCCAAGATATTACAAATCTTTGCATATATATATATATATATATATATATATATATATATATATATATATATATATATATATATATATATATATATATATATATATATATATATATATATAAATTAATATGTATATATTAATTTATATATAACACAGACACACAAAAATATCAATACTATTCTATAAAACACAAAGTGAAAAGTCTTGGTGCAATTTTGATGTCTTTTGTTAAAATTCCCTTATTTTACTTGTAACTTAGTTACTCTTTTTTTTAAATATTGTATCGATTATAGTTTATAGATCATAGAGTATAGAATATAGAAAATTAAAAAATATCTTTAAACGATAAATAACTAAACAAAATAATAGTCTTAAAATAATCACCCAAAACAAGTAGACATATTTATATAACCGAGTTTGCGCATAATATTGTATGCGCTAAGTTAATTTTTTTACTTATTTTTAAGGTAATTAGGACGTCTTATGTAGGTCTTAGCGACGTCAATAGGACGTCTAAATATTCAAGTCCTGATATCGTCTTTATATTAACGTCACAAGGACGTCCTAACAAAGACGTCTTTACCAGACGTCTTTAGGACGTCCTAATTTGGTCTGAGACGTCGCGACCTAGTTAAGACGTCCGTAAGACGTTTGATTCACGTCTGTGCCCGCTGGGTAGTAGCACTTTTTGGACGTCCAGAGCGAGGGTCATCTTCAAGGCTTGAACGCCTACGTTGAAACTCCGCAGCCCATTTGCATACTGTTGTTTTTGAAGGAGCATCATCACCCAACACATTTACCATTTCATTATGAATTTCCGTGGGCTTTAAACCTTTTTTCACAAAGAATTTTATTACAGCACGATGTTCAATATTTTCCATTTTAAAAAATACTATGACACGTCTAATTTCAATAGCTTGTAAACAAAGACTGAAATGACATATCGACTTGAAATTTTTTATGCGTTCATACGAAGAATGAATACGTTTAATACAGTTATAAATTTGTTTCTACTACTGCAACATAGGTGTCGCTCCGCGAACTTTTCAACCAACCTAGTATATATATATATATATATATATATATATATATATATATATATATATATATATATATATATATATATATATATATATATATATATATATATATATATATATATATATATATATATATATATATATATATATATATATATATATATATATGTATATATATATATATATATATATATATATATATATATATATATATATATGTATATATATATATATATATATATATATATATATATATATATATATATATATTTATATATATATATATATATGTATATATATATATATATATGTATATATATATATATATATATATATATATATATATATATATATATATATATATATATATATATATATATATATATATATATATATATAAAAGCAGTTTTAATAAGAATATAAACATTATTTTGTAACGTTCTGCAAAGTATCTACAAACAATACAAATAACAATAAATGCAATACATACACTTAAAAGCATTACGTAGATACGTTTAGATGACTTTAATTGAGTTTATATAAACAAGCTGAATACTTTTTATCTTTTTCTTTTCATTAATCTCTATGTAAACTAATTAATTTTTTAAAAAAATGTTGCGCAATTTGATAAACGAATCACTTCCGATAGCAAATAAAAATTAACTTGGTAAAGTGTGGTGTTTTTTTTTGTAATATTTATTTGTATTAAAGTTGTTTATTATTTATTTATTAAGTTGTTTTGATAACACAGATTAATTTAAGATCAAATATAAGTATAAAAAGAAAAACGCATACATCATAAGCAGGGCCAATTTTTTGTTTAAAAGGTGGTCTTTGCCAACTAGAAACACCTAAAAATAAAAAAAAAAGGTCCTCAATATTTGCAATATGCCAACTATAGTTCAAAACTTAGTCAATGTATCAACTCAAATGCTAATATTTAAAAGGGGTGGGACACCCCGACACCCCCTCTCCTTCGGGACGGCCCTGAACATAAGCTTCAACTTTGAAAAAATAAAAAGGAAATGAACTTGGGGTTTTTCGAAAATGTCCAGAGCTGAAGTTTGGAAATTTTAAGTTAAACATAAAATTTTAAGTTAAACATAAATATTGACGCATGTTTAAATATTGACAAATCTCAAAATACTTACTTTAAATAGCCTTTAAGCAAACAAGTTTTTATTTTTGAGTTTTTCTCAACTTCAATAAGCTTAACAATAATTACATGATTATACACAATGATTCTCCATTGTGTGCACAAAAGCTATTCAAGCTGTTATGTGTTTTTCATTATGCATTACACTACGATCATGCAATTTTGAGGAAGTACACAGCATATTACGCTTTTTTGTCGGTGCCACAGATTGTTTAACATTGAAAAACACTTTTAACTTATTAAATGATTGTATTGAACATTTTACGTTGGTTTAGCAGGAAAAAAAAAAAGGAGTTTAATTAAAAATAAAGAAATCGTTTTTTAAATGTTAGCTTGAAGTTATTTTATATATTTTTTTGTTTTTAGTTAAATGGTAAAACCTTTAGACAAATTGGCTAAACTAACTTTTTGGTCTTCATGTTACAACAGCTTGATTTTAAAAATTAGTGTTTATCAATTGCTAAGTTGGAAAAACTAGCAATACAAAAATGATGAATTGCAAAATGTATTACATATTTTCATTGTTCGTAGTTTTAATTAAATTTTCTATAACAGCCGATGAAAGCTCGTATGTAATTACAAACGTGGTTTCGCAAGTGTCAATAATATCGTACAAAGATGTTAGCGTTAATTATGGAAGAGGGGTAGTATTAAAACAAGAGAATTTTTTTATTCTGTACAATAAAAGTCAAAACTGCGAAGTGTCAACGGTAAAAAATGACTATTCAGAAATTGGAACTATATTACCTTCTACATTTCCTTGCAATTTTAAAGAAGGAGATGTGTCCTACCAACATTTGGGTAGTATGTCTCGCACAACAGATGTAATAAAACTCCAAGTCCGTTTAGAAACCGATCAGAAAGTAATAATTAAGCCCTTTGTATTACGAGTTCAAGTTGTTTTTGAAAATTCATTAGAAGTTGTTACAAAAATAGAAAATTTGAGGGTGAACGAGATGAGTAATTTTTCAGAGGCAATAACCAAAGATGTGGTAAGATTTGATTTTGTCAAAGAAACGTACACGTGTAATGTTCGGTTATGCCATAGTAGCAAAAGTCCTCCTTATTATGGATCAATAATTAATGCTACTAACTTTCCTCTTCAATTTAGTTATTTAAATCGAAAATACATGTCGTGTGAAGAATTTTTAAGAGGTTCGTTGTACTACTACTATCGTCGTGAAACTTCATCTACGAACCGAGACTATATTCCATTGATGGTTGAAACTAGAAATATAGCATCCAACGTAGTAAAAAAGCGGGAGTTTTTTCAATTACCCGTTCGAATATATGGAGTTCCTGAAAACAAACCCCCTATAATAAATTATGATGATGCGCAATACAGTTTAAATGTTGATCGGCTTTCTTTGACGGTAATTACTTCAAATATAATAAAAGCAGAAGATAAACAAGCGAACTTCGATTCTATTCTTTTTAACGTTACAAGTAAATATGAACCCAATGAAGGCTTTTTAGTGCATATTGAAGATCCAGAAAGACCTTTAACAACTTTTTATCAAAGAGAGATCAAAGATTTTAAGATTGCTTATAAACCGCCAATAAATATTAGTAATTTTAATTCACAACAAATATGGTTTGAAGCAAGAGACAGATTTGATGCCGTTTCCTTGCCGTTTTATGTTATTTTTGTTTTAAAAGCATCTAACACAAGAGCTCCTCAAGTAATTAAAAATACGGGATTAACATTAACTGAAGGAAAGTCGAGATTGATCACGCGAGATGCTCTTGAGATTAGAGATATAGATAACGAAGAAGTTGTTACTGTATCAGTTATTGGTGGGCTATTGCACGGAAAACTATATAAAAAAGGTGTAATTATTTCAACTTTTACACTTCAAGATATAGATGAACAATGTATATTGTATCAACACGATGACTCAGAAACTACCTATGACAATGTAATATTGCGAATTTCAGACGGTGTAAACTCTATTGACGTCATGTTTCTAATAACAATTTTGCCTGTAGATGATCAAGCGCCAGTACTTTCAGTTAACACGGGCGCATTTTTAACGGAGGGTGAAATTAAGAGAATTGACGAGTTTGAGCTTAGTGCAACGGATTTGGATTCTGATGTTGAAAAGATTACTTTTTATATCGTTAAAGAGCCAGATGCTGGTTACCTATGCTTGCGTAAATCTGAATATAACTTTGTTCCTGAAGTTCTCACTAATGCTAATACTGAGAAGCATAAAAAGGCTATTAATAAATGGGAAATTGTGGACAATGCTTACGAGCAAAAGATTTCAGAGTTTACTCAGGCTGATTTATTTTTGGGAAATGTTTATTACAAGCATTATGGTAATGAAATATTTAATGACATATTTATATTTTGCGTATCAGATAACGCAAAAATACCTAATCAATCATGCAAAAATAAATTTGATTTTTATATAACTCCTATTGACGACGAGCCTCCTTCACCACATCCTAATTCCACTTTTCTGATGAATGTGAATATATTTGATAATGTAGTATTAATGCAAAATGTTATACGATATACAGACGTTGATTCAAATGACAACAATTTAGTTTATTCAATTACTAACCAAGTATGTTATCAACAAAACAACATGTTATTAGAATACAGTGTTGGTTATTTTTTTAATGAAGAAAATCCTAATGTTAAAGTTACAAATTTTTATCAAAGTGATATAAACTTTTTAAGAGTTGTGTATAAATTTAACATATCAAGTTCCAGGTGTAAATCAGTATTTATATACTTTAATGTAACAGATTGTGCTGGAAATTCAATATCTAATCAAAAGATAACTTTTAATATTTTATCAGGCATTACAAAAGCACCAAATCTTATAATTAACACATTAACAGTAGCTAATAGTGCATCATTTACAATCTCTTTTAATAATATTGATGTTAATGATATAGATAACTCAGATGACCATGTTTGTTTTTCAATTCTGGAATTACCAAAATATGGTGCTATTTTATTTAATAAAATTAGACTTTCAAAAGGTACTTGTGTCAGTTTAAAAGACATACATGAAAATAGAATTAAGTATGTACATGATGGAACCCAGTCCAAAAATGACAGCATCCAATTTATCTTTACTGATGGGATTCATAAAGTTCAGATAGAATTACCAATTGGTATTTTTCTTTTTCTATTGCTTGTTAACACTGCACTACACACACACGCTCACCTACACATGCATACATGTGTGTATAAATGCATATTTTGATCAGCAGTCTGAGGCATAATGTAATAGGAAGCTGTTAAGGGCTTTAGTAAATACAAAAATCAACAGTTGAACTCCTGTAATTCAAATCCTCAAGGGGTGTGAAAATATGTTCAAATTACAATACTTTTTGAATTACAGGAGTTTAATCTTTAATATTAAACCCTGATAAGACTGAAGAATTTGCTGAACTCAAACTGTAATTCAAATTCCTATAGTTTAAAAAACCTTTTAAATCGAACAAATTCTTCAGTCTTGTCAGGGTTCAAAATGAACATGGTTATTTTAGAGAGCTTTTCTCAACTCTGACTCTAATTTACTTTCTCTCTTTCTTTCTTTCTCCCTTTCTCTCTTTCTATCTCTCTCTCTCCCTTTCTCTCTTTCTATCTCACTCTCTCTCTCTCTCTCTCTCTCTCTCTCTCTCTCTATATATATATATATATATATATATATATATATATATATATATATATATATATATATATATATATATATATATATATATACATACATATACATACAGTGCTTTTTTTCTCATAAAATGCACTAGAACCTAGAACGTTCTAGTACCTTTTTTTTTTACATATATCTAAATACTTTTTCCCCGTATTTTTATACAATGAACTTAGTTTTTTTTTTTTTTAAATTAACATTTTAAAAATTAACAATGGAAGTTTATAGAAACTGAAATAAGAAATTTGTTTATTTATTTTCAATTAACTGCTGTTAATTGAAAGAGAAATGGTTCAAGGATTTGGTGAATAACTTGTAGAAAAAAATATATCCTAAAAATTTAGTAGGCGTTTTTCATTTTATACCCATTTCCTCAAGTGAATGCGAACGATAATTTTCGTAGGTTTTTTTTATAGTTTTATTTTTATTACATTTCAAATAAACATTTTGTTACAATATTTAAAATACAAATACAAAATAATAATATGTATATATATATATATATATATATATATATATATATATATATATATATATATATATATATATATATATATATATATATATATATATATATATATATATATATATATATATATATATATATATATATATATATATATAGACCTAAGATTCACTCAGAAAAATTTGAGCGGCGCTTAATTTGTTGTTCAGCAGTTTTTTATGAACGGACATTTGCAAATCTGCTCATAAAATTTCTTGAGCGAGCACTCCGCTTATTCGCTCACAAATCTGCTTATAAAAAAGTTTCAATAACTTTCCCAATATTCGCTCTTTAAATTCAGAAAAGTTTTTAAACTAATTAGTTCAATATTTGGCCGCTAGAAGGCGCAGAATGACCGTAATTTTTGAGCGCTATCAAAAAAGTTTTTTCTTGCGCTTACGCTTTGCTCAGAAGTTATGAGCGCCGCTCATGAGCGAGTTCAATTTGAGCAGCGCTCATCCTAGGTCTATATATATATATATATATATATATATATATATATATATATATATATATATATATATATATATATATATATATATATATATGTATGTATATATATATATATATATATATATATATATATATATATATATATATATATATATATATATATATATATATATATATATATATATATATATATATATATATATATATATATATATATATATATAGTTCATGGTAAAAAAAAAAAGACTCTTTACAACTCAATGTTTTTAATGATGACAAAAATCAAGTAAACTTTATGTAAAAACCATTAAATTTAATTGAGGAAACTAATTAAATTTTATCATTTTTTAAAAAACCATAAATATGCAACTTAATAGACTGGAGTTTATTTAATTTTTTTTTGATAAAAATAAAAACATGTTCAGAAAATTTTTATTATTATTACATTGGCTGACAAGTTGGAAGAACATACAGGGAGTGTGTACATACATCCACTAGCAAATATGTAGAACATGCAAGGGGTGCTGCTACATCAACTAACAAATAAACATTTTATAATTACATACATAGATATTTAGTCATCTTTCAATCATAACCCCTGGACTATTTATTTAATAATCAGTTTAAATTTATGGTAATAGCAACGATACTAATATCTAGAGATTTTTGAACAAAATATATTTTTTGTGGAAGCCAATTATTAACAACCAGGTATTGTTTTAGCATCAATAAACATCTGGGAATGTTGGGAAGCTAAAAAGAATGAGGGCATATCTGAATTTAATGTTCATAGCAGCACTTGAAAAAAAAAGCTTCATTTTTATTAAAAAATTAATACTTGTTTTCAATGTAATGGAATGATTAATTTTACATTATTACATAATATTTTATTTGCCTGTGTGCTTTAGCTTATGAAGCAATCGGAGGTTCTTATTGCAATAAGAATTAATGGCTTATTAACATGGCAGTAACACTTTAAATAGCTTCATAACGATTATGAAAAAGATCTTCCTTATAAAATATATAATCAGATTTTGTGAGCTCAGAAAAAATATTAAATTACTTTAATTTTAATATTAAATTACTTTAACTTTAATAATCAGTTAAAAAATATTTGATTACTTTAACCTTAATAGTCAGTCTTATCCATCAAATGTAAGCAATTTTAAATTGCTTACATTTGATGGATAAGGTGCACCATTTAAAGGATATGATACACCTAATGGAAGTAATGAGATTTTACTACTGCCCTTAGGTCCTTAGGTGTCAGTGTAAGCTCTATTCTGATCTTTCAATATTTCCAAAACATGTTTAATGATGCTAAAATATTGATGGTTTATTAGTAATTAGACATAAAAATTTGTATCTAAAAAAAATCTTTTTTTTAATTTTAGAGTATCATTTTTTGATACTCTAGAATTAAAATTATATATATATATATATATATATATATATATATATATATATATATATATATATATATATATATATATATATATATATATATATATATATATATATATATATATATGTATATATATACATATATATATATATATATATATATATATATATATATATATATATATATATATTTATATATATATATTCATAGTTATTAAACCATGGGATGTCGATGTGAAAGAAAAAGATTTTAATAAAGAATATTTTACAACTTCTGAAGGAGGGGTAGTAGAAATCAATAAAGCTTTTATTCAAATGTTTGACAATAATGATGATGAAGATTTGCTTGCCTTTAATATGATTTTACAGCCTAAATTTGGAGTAATCAAGAAAAATGGTACTTTTATATTTTATATTTATTTTTCTCTGTATATATGTTTGTATATATGTATTTATGGTAATATTGTATATTCATTTTATGGCTGTTCTAGGAATTTCTCTTGTTAATACTTTCCATCTGAATGATATTACTGATAGTAAAATTGTTTATCAGCATACAAGTGGGGAAATTGGTTATGAAAAACTATATGATCAGTTTGTTATTGGAGTTTCTAACAACTTGACTGGCCTAATAATAGGTTTTAAGTTTTTCAATAAAGTACTTTTAAATGTTGAAATCAATCCAGTTGATAACCAGCCGCCAATCATGCTAGGCAATTTTATTATCAAAGTTGCTGAAGGAGGTACTTCCTTATTAGAGGAAACAATGTTGAAAATTGTAGATAATGACACTGCTCTGAGACATATAAATTGCAGTGTAACACATCCTCCTGAATTCGGTTTTTTTCAAATTGTTTTGCCAGAGGAAGGTTCAGAAATATCAAGAATGGGGATTCCAATATTACATTTTAGTGCTCTTGATGTGTTTAACAATGATATAAGTTATGTGCAAAGCATTCATAAAGGATTTGAACCTAGCAATGATGTATTTCAGCTTCAGTGCACTGATGGCACAAATATTTCACCTCAAAATATTTTTCATATTGTCATTAGTCCAACTAATGATGAAGTTCCAATTATTTTTGTCCAGCCGAAAATATATTGTGTTGAAGATGATTTTATATTACTTGACCTTACAAAAATTAATCCATTTGACCTTGATCAACCAGAAGATTTTATGACTATATTTGTGTCTAGAAAGCCGCTTCATGGCGAGTTATTAATACAAACTCAGTTTGAATCAAAAGTTGCTATAGAGTTCCAAAAAACAGTGTTAATGTCAGACTTTGAAGAAGCACTTGTTTATCAACATAAAGGTACAGAGACACCAAGTGATTCATTTGAAATTATGGTTTGCGATGGACTTCATAATACAACTAAGGAGATTGAGATAATAATAGTTTCAGTGGATGATGAAGCCCCAAGGTTATCTTCAAATAATGGTTTATGTTTAGAAAAAGGAGAAACTAAAGTAATCACAAAAGACAATTTAAATGCAGTAGACACAGATTCAGATGATGCCAGTCTTGTTTACATAATAAGAACAGAACCTAAATTTGGTAAGCTTCAAATGGCTATATCATCAGTGATAACACTTGATTTAAGAGAAGGAGATAACTTTACACAAAAACATATTAATGAAAGAAGGATTAGGTTTGTTTTATGCTAATAATAATTTTATTTATATAGCAGAAAATTAATGAAAAATTAGTTAATTTGAAAAAATGCTGTGAATTATTTTGATTTTTCTGAAGTTTTTTTCCCTTTGTGTTAAGTGTATAAACTGAAACATTTCATTTGTTTTGCTAAAAGGAGCTAATTTTTTAAAACTTTTAAAGAACTAACAAACGCAGGTATTTTTTACATAATTTAAAAATAAAATAATTTTGATACATTAATAATAATCAAAACAATGCTAAAATTAATTAAGCAATAATAAAAGTTATTACTTATTACAGGTGATTAAAAATGGTAATAGGCAAGTGATTGTTAAAAATGGCATCACTCAATGATTGTTAAGAATGGTGTCACTCAATGATTGTTTAGGATGGTATCACTAAATTATTGTTAAAAATAATGGCACTCAAAAATTCTAATTAACAGAGTGACATATTATAATAGGAATTTAAAAAATGATGACAGTAACTGCTATAGCAACACCGTTAGAGGAAAGAAGAAGACTATAGACCAAAAAGGAAAAAGTTGCACTCAGAAAAAAATCAATGAAAAAAAAAAAAAGAAAGAGTAACAATCTTTTTTAAAAGCATTTAAAAAAAAAAAACAGATTTCGATAACAATAATTCATAAGCAACAAAACATAAAAAAAATAGAAGAGTGGGCAACGGGACTAGTTAAGTAGAAGATATACAGAAAATGTTTTAGTTTTCAATTGATATAACAAAAAACTTTTTATGAAAACTTCACAAAGCTTGATTAGTATCTTGAAAAACATTTATATTCAAGCTTTTTAGTTAATTTATTTATTCCTTATTTGTTCTTTTTATTTTAAAACAACTTTTTACTTCTTTTTTTCTTTTTTTTTTTATAAATATTTTCTTTGTTTTTATTTTTCCTTTTTTACTTTTTAAATTCTTCTTTTTCATCTATAATATATTTACTAGAACTATACTATTATGTTTCTTTTTCAATGGAATTATAAATTTATTTTTCATCCACCAGGAAACCTAAAATTAAGAAAAAATTATGCAATTTAAATTTTGATTGGATAAATAATGCAATTTAAATTTTGATTGGATAAATAAAAATGAATAGTAGTTAGCATTATAATCAAAGTTTTATCTAGTATAAAAGTTTTACTTCTAGAGAATACTTTGCTTTTAATTTTGTTAACTAAATTTAGATAGTGAGAAAATGAAAAAAATTGCAAGAACAGTAACAAACTAGTTTTAAATCAGAATAAACAAACTCCTTTAGAAATTCTTCTAGTAATTAATAAATTGTATCATTCAAATGTGCCTTTACTCAGAGATGCTCTTGTACTTGTTTAATGTAGTCAATGTAGAATAATAATGTAGAAAGTTATCTTTTGGAAAATATCATTAAAGAATATTACTGCTTAATAATCATAGAATACCCATCAAAGAGCATGGATGATTGTATCATTCTTGCAAATATAATTCAAAAAAATTGAGCTATAGTTTTTCATCATCATAGAATTGTGGGTTTGGAAATAACTGACAAGTATTACAGTTTTAATCAAGTTTTTGGAGTTGATAAAACAATTACAAATTATATTGAACCTGAGCATCACTGTAACACTCATTACAATTGGAAAAAGTTGTCAATATAAACAGTTTCTCATATACTTAAAAATTCAAACCATTTGAGAAATGAAAATTTAGGTAATTTAGAAATATTTTGGAAAATGGATCCTATTGTTAGTAAAGTATAGAATACAGTTGGAACCAGTGGCAGTACATCTAAGACAAAGTTGCTTAACAAAAAAAGAGCAAGCTTTACAAAAGACACATACGACCCAGTAAAAATTACTATATAGTTTACATAAGACCCAGTAGAAATTCTATTTTAGCTCGTTTCAAATTACAATGTGGCCCATTTACTTGTGAATTAAATGCCAATTAATATATTAAAGAAGAGCTTTTGTTAAAATGCCAAAAGCAATAGAAGAATAAGAGTAGGTCATTGTCATATAGATCAACTCTATTTAAAATCATGGTTGTTTATAAAAATACAAAACAGATTTGTCTTATGTCTATAGAAGAATATGCAAGTAATTTAAAGATTCTACTTGGAAAGTTCTTAGAGCAATCCACAATCACATTTGATGACTTTTACAAAGTTATTTAACAAGTAATCAGAACAAATTGTTTTAAATATGGACTAATTTAATGCACAATAATTAATTTGCGTTATTTACAACTACACCTAATAATTGCTTATTTTATTGATAAAATAAGGATTCTACTTTGCTTATATTAAATGATTTCATTTAATTTAATATTTGATTATAATATGATTTAAATATATATAATGATTTCATTTAATTTAGTATTTGATTTTATAGTATTTGAGTATTATGTAATTGGTTGGCCAATATGGAAAACTGGAATTTGCCCATATTAATTTTTTTTTTGTTATAGTTATATTTATTATTGTTATATGTGTATACTATAATTAAATGTGTATACATAGTAACAATGTAGGTTAACATTATAATTATTAACTAAATAATAATAATAACTGAACCAGTTAAATGTAGCTATATCATTATATAGAAACTTCTCTCGCAAGAGGAGTTGTTCTAGTTTTTAATAGATGTTGTAAAGTAAATATTTTTCAGGTATACACATGATGCACATAAGTTTGGTGAACATGATGCTATTGTATTTGATGTTACCGATGGGTTGAACAAATTGATAAATCAAAAGTTTAATATATTGCTCACTCCTGAAGATTTGATACACCCATCAGTTGTTTCTAAAGACTTAATGCTAATGGAAAATAATCAAGCTGTTCTGACAACAGATTTACTGAGTGCTTCTGATTCTAATAGCCTTGATGAAAATTTGTTATTTACAGTTACCAAAATACCTCTTAGGGGTCATCTTGCAAACATAAAATATCCTCATATTCCAATAACAAGATTTACACAGTTGCAGTTAGCAGAAAATAAAATTATTTACAAGCACACGAGTGCAGATGAAGTGAAAATAGATAGCTTTGAATTTGAAGTCACTGATGGACGAAATAAATTATTTCGCACATTTCGTATAAAGCTATTGGAGGTTAATAACAAAATTCCTGTATTAAAAATAAAAACCATACAAGCAACTCAAAACCGTAAGTCAGTCATAACTCCTTTCGAATTATATGCTATTGATAATGATACATCTAGCACTAAGATTTTGTACAAAGTTGTTGAAGCACCAAAATATGGGCAGTTGTTGTTAGATGGAGTTAATATTATTTCGAATTTCACTCAAAACCAAATAGACAATAATCGGATCTTATACCATCAAGATGGATCACAGGTTACTAGTGATAGTTTTACTATAAAATTAATGAACGAGCATAACAGCGAATATTATTTGCATCCAGATACAAGCTTGATATTAAACCAACCAATTCGTATTTCTATTTCAACAAAACCTTTTGATATTCAACCTCCAACATTAAAAATTAATAATGGTGCTACAAGTTTAATTTTAAATGACAACAGAGCTATATATATATTTCTACCAGAAGCTTTGGAAGCCATTGATAATGTATTTGACCCTTCCAAACTTCAATTTATTATTAAAAGGCATCCAAAAAATGGAATTATTGCCAGTGTTTATGATAAAAGGAGCAAGCTTTCAAAGTTTACTCAGCAAGACATCAATGAAAGACGGGTTATTTATGTTCTTAAGCAAGAAAGTGAAGCCATTAGTGATTTTTTTATATTTGATGTAGCAGACACCATAGGAAATAGGCTAAAAGAACAAACATTCACTTTAAATTGGTCTTGGGTAAAATTTGTTAAAAAGAAATACACTGTTAAAGAAACAGACGAGTATATTAAATTGCATTTGCAAAGAAATGGATATTTAGAAGATGTTTCTTTTGTATCAGTGCATGCAATTGACGGAACAGCAAAGTATAAAGAGAATTTTGATGTTGTACAAAATCGAGTCCACTTTAATAAAGGGCAAACTATAAGTGAGATCAAAATTAAAATCATTGATAACAATAAATTTGAAAGGTTTAAATCTTTTACTATCATGCTAAACACAAATGCTGTACAAACATTGATTAATCATGGTCACAGGAACACATCTGTAGAAATTTTTGATTCTGAAGATGGTAATATTTTATGCTTTAGTTATAATAGTAGTTTTTCTTTTTTAATTTTTATTTTATTTGTTTAATTTTGTTCTTTAACAAAATATAACTAAGCAACAGTGCTTAGTTATATTTTCTAAAAAAGCATTGTCCTATGGTATTTATGATGTGCTGGTTATAAGTCCTCACTGCTGGTAAAGAAAATTTTTTGTGGGTAAGGGAAAGTCAATACTATACTCATCTAAATATTCACTGTCATCATCTTCACCATCACAATCATCATCATCATCATCATCATCATCATCATCATCATCATCATCATCATCATCATCATCATCATCATCATCATCATTTATTTGAATTAAATACTAATACTATTTTATTCAAGGATGTGCAATATTATATATAAATATATATATATATATATATATATATATATATAATTTTCATTAAATTTTATTGTTTTTTAAAAATATTTTGTATTTTTTATAAATTATATAGGCACAACATTGATGTATTGCACAACATTGTGTACATTGATGTATGTACATACATCAACTAAGGGTTTGGTTTGGGCAGACTTTTTTTTAAAGAGAAAAAAAATGTTTATTTTGTTCCCGACTTGTTTTTCAGTATTAGATTTAAAACTATAGAGTATCAAAAAACCATAATATTTAATTGTAGAAACAATATTAACTATATTTAGAGCCAAGGGTTGAAGTTGCAGAAAATTTTATCTCAGTTGAAGAATCTATTGGAGTTTTACATATACCTTTAAAACGATTTGGTGATTTAAATGATTTGACAAGAATCATTTGTGAAACAGTTTCTGGTTTAAAATTAGTATATTTTTTGTAAATAAATAAATTGAATAATTTTCAAAAAAATAAAATGTTTACATTTTTCTAGTTTCGGCACTTGGTACAAATGGCGTTTCTGTTTTATCAGGACAAGACTTTATTTCAAGAATGTCTTCAGATCCACGAAACATCATTGACTTTAAAAAGGTTTTTTTTTTTTTTAAATTAAACTTTTGGTTTTGATTACAAAACCATATTTAATCTAACTTTGTATATTACCAAAATCATATTTAATCTAACTTCATATATTACAAAATCATATTTAATCTAACTTCACATATTACAAAACCATATTTAGTCTAACTTTATATATTACAAAACCATATTTAATCTAACTTCACCATATTTAATTTAACTTTATAAATTCAATTTTTTTTTTTTTTGAGTTTTGAGAATTAAAAGCATTGTTCTAAATATAAATTAAAAAATAATAAATGAAAAATATATAAATTTAAAATTTAAAAATTTATGTTAGAGTGAGTATCAGCAAAACTGCTTAGTTAAAATCATCGATGATAGTTTGTATGAAGATGAAGAAACTTTTATTGTTAAGCTTAATGCATATTATGGTGGAAAGATTGGTTTTGCTTCTGAAACTAAAGTTTTAATATTAAAAGATCCAATGGATGGTATAAATTTGCATTTAGACTTATTAAATTTGTGTAGTGTCAATATTATTATATATAAATGTAAAATTCAGTTTACATTTAAAAACATTTTTTTTTAATGTAACATTTGTTTTTATCTTTTATTTGCAATTATAAAATATTTTTGTCTTTTTTCTTTACATTCTTATCTAGAGCCTTATTTTTTTATGAGCTCACAATTTTATGTTGTTTCTGAAGAAGATAACAATATCACATTTTCAATTCAAAGAAGTGGTACTGATTTGTCTATGAAGTCTTATATTTCAATAGTCACTGTTGAAGATACGCCTCTTTCTGCAAAATGTAATTCCAACTTAATTTAGTTAAAAATCTCTAACCTTATTTTTTTTCTTAGTCATATTTGTTTCTTATTATTATTATTATTATTATTATTATTATTATTGCTATTATTATTATCATTATTATTATTATTATTATCATTATTATTATTATTGTTATTATTATTATTACTATTGTTTATTTATTGATTGAAAATATTTTGATGTCAATCACATACAAAAATTGGGTTTAAAAATAAATGAAAAAATTTGATAAAAGAATGGCACTGAAGAATTTTTTTATAAAAATACTGGTACATTAGCATGTGAATGTGTAAATGCTGGTATTACTTGTTGGCTATTATTTTGGATATTGTTGTTGCATATGATGGTTGTTTAGTTGTAAGGCAGTATAAGTCATTTTGACATTATAAGATTTAAACCTTTCTTAAGTTTTAGTCCTAACTTTGGGAACAATGGAACTTTAACTGTATTTGTATTTATTTTGTAATTGTATTGAAGTATAATAATCATGGAGCAGGTTTTTAAATATAGGTTTTAATAGTATTTACTGCTATAATAAATTGTTTTTTAATTTTTAGCCAATGTTGACTATTTGCCTATTGCCACCACATATTTATTTGAGCCATATCAGAATCAAGTTTTTGTAACAATTCAAATTTATGATGATGCTGATTACCCTTTATTAGAAGGAAAAGAAACATTTTTGGTGATCTTAAAAGAAGCTAAAAGTGGAAGAATTGCTCATCCTTCAAATGCTACTATTACCATAGATGATTCTGAATCTGATAGTAGGTTTCCATTTTCTTTAAATTCAAATATAACTTGAAATATTTATTTATGTTAATCCATATATGACTATGATTACTTTTTTAAATATATTACTGTTGTTTTAATGTAGAGCCAACCATTTATTTTGAAAGTTCTCAGCATAATGTTGATGAAAATTGCCACAATGTTTCTCTCAGCATTTTAAGGTCTGGAGACTTGCAGCATGAATCTCTTGTGCGTTGCTATACTAGAGAAGGTACTGCTAAAGCTGGCAAAGACTTCAAAGAACGCAGAAATGCTGACAGCTCATTAATATTGTTTAAGAAAGGAGATTTTATAAAAATATGTTTGGTATGCATGTTGCTGTAAATATTTTTTAAATAAATTGTTGGATTAAATATTTTATTGTGTTATATTTATTTTAGCATTTTTTTAAATTTTAGATTGAAATTTTTGACGATACTGTTTATGAATCAAATGAAAGTTTTGAAGTTTTTCTTGGTACGCATGGAGAAAATGTTGATGGTAACAAATCAGCTAGGTTTTTAATTGGGAGAAATCATAGAAGTATTGTTGAAATCAAAGACAATGATAGTCAGTTGAGAAACTTAGATGTTTCTTTTTTATTTAATTTATTTCTTTATTATAGTTAACAAATATGCATAGTATATATGTATATATACTAGTATATATGTATGTATACTAATATATATGTATATATACTAGTATATATGTATATATACTAGTATGTTTGTACATATATTGCTTTAAAGAAAATTTTCTCTTTTCAATGAAAAAACAAATATTTACATGGCTGTAATAAAGAGAAGACAAAATAGGTCTTGTTACCAAACTAACTTTTCATTGTTGATGCTCTGGTGTGATTGTAATAACAAACAACATTTTCATTATATTTTTATATTGAAATTATAACAATAGTAGTAATGAAATGATAATAATGGTAATGATAAAAATAATGGTTATGATAATAAAAATATAATAACAATAATAATTGTAATAATAATAGCAACACCAATATCAATAAAAATCATGATAATATGTTTTGATACTATGAAATCTAAAGACATTACAAAACCATATCTTTTTTATCTAGAGTTTTACCATTTTATCTTTTTATTTTTTTAAATTTTTTAAATTTTAATTTAGAGTCTATTATTGAATTTAAACAAAATCGTTATTATGTTAAAGAACCATTTTCAAATGATGATAAAACTTCAGTAACAATCTCAATCCATCGCACAGGTGATGTTTCATTAACTGAGTTCGTGACTGTGTTTACAAAGGATGGTTCTGCAAAATCTGGTCAAAATTATGAATCATTCACAAAAGTAAAATTATTTGTTTGAAATTTTTTTAATAGGGGGGTTTTTTGTTATGAGAGTTGGTTTTAAAATTAGTTTCACTTTTTGTCTTCAATATTATATTGAAGACAAAAGGTGAGACTAATCAAACTTTTTTATTCAAATTTTTTTATTAGTGTTTTTTTGCTCATTAGCATTTACTCTTTCAGTTGTTAGAATTTTCACCAAATATTACAAAAATGGAAGTGTCAGTTTCAATCCTCTATGATGACCAGCTCACCTTACGAACAGCATTTTCATTGCATCTGTATATTGAAAGTCAAAAACTATCTTCATTAGGTAATGCTAGAACTGTCATTTATATTGAAAAGCCAAGAGACCAAGTTGTTCTGTTTCCATCAAACCCTGTTGTAGTCTCATTAAATGATTATGACAATGTTGCCAATGCAAAAATTCAGCCAATCAATGGTTATCCATTAATTTGTATAACGGTAACTATATTCTTTTGTTTGCGTAACCAGTTATCAAACAACTTAACCATTATTAATTTGTTTGATAATTTTATATGCTATATCTATTTACACCTTTACATTTATATATATATATATATATATATATATATATATATATATATATATATATATATATATATATATATATATATATATATATATATATATATAAATATATATATATATATAATATATATATATATATATATATATATATATATATATATATATATATATATATATATATATATATATATATATATATATATATATATATATATATATATAAACAAAATAATTCAATAAACAAAAATATAAAAAAACAAAAAATATATAAAACATAACAGTTTAAAATCACTTTTTGATGTGAAATTTTAAATTAATTTCCTTGATCTAATTTTGTTTTGAATAACTCTATCTCTGCAATTGTGTCAAACCACAGTTGCTGAAGCTTCAGTAACAGGTCTGTCAACATTTTGGCCGTGACACTCATGTCTTAAGTAAGTTTTTTGATAAGTTCAAGTATTTTATCTTCTTTAATCAGTCTTAAAATCAGTGGAATTGTGTTCTATTGGGAAATCATTTTGTAATATCATACAGCTTTAAGATTAATTTTGGACTTAAGAAACACACTTACATTTTTATTCACTTTAGATAACCACTTTCACTAATATTAATTTCATTTTGTAACCACTTTCTCCTTTCTCCTTTCTTGACCATAAAAGTCTTCTATGAGGCTTTTTAAATGCAAAATGTGGTAACCACTTTCTCCTTTCTCCTTTCTTGACCATAAAAGTCTTCTATGAGGCTTTTTAAATGCAAAATTTTATTAACCACTTTCCTTCTAACCTCTTCCTCCTCGTCGGCTAAAATTCCAATGAGAATATATTCACCATGAGCAGAATAACTGCAATCATCTATAACTTTACAACAAATGTTCATTTGAATCAGGAAATTTATTGATTCTTTTAATCATGTTAAATATGTTTTAAGGAGTGTCAATTAAATGTTTATCTTAATATCAAAACAAGTAGGAAAATACACTTTTATGATAAATTATACAATCAGCTTTAAATTTTTTTAGTATGTTTGGATACATAGTAGCACAAGATTTAGCATGCTGATGTTAACCAACGAGAGTAGTTTATATTTCTAACTCCTTAAAAGGCTCAATGATCATCTATGTTTCCTTTTAATATACCCTGCTTACATCTATAAGATATATATATCTTATGGATGTAACCGGGGTATATCAGAGTTGTAAGGAAAGTTTCAAATTTACTTTATTGGAATAGAATTATTTTATAATAAAATGCATATATAAAAAAAATGCTTCGGAGCTTCAACTCATGCTTCAATAGGTTTGGAAAGTTTCAATTGATTTTCTCAAGTTCTAATAATTTAAATTAGAAGCTCCCCAAGTTCATTTTAGGCTCAATTTGCTCTTTCTCTTCTTTTTTCTTATATATATATATATATATATATATTATATATATATATATATATATATATATATATATATATATATATATATATATATATATATATATATATATATATATATATATATATAAATATATATATATATATATAAATATATATATATATATATATATATATATATATATATTATATATATATATATATATATTTATATATATATATATATATATATATATAAATATATATATATATATATATATATATATATATATATATATATATATATATATATATATATATATATATATATATATATATATATATAGAGAGAGAGAGAGAGAGAGAGAGAGAGGCCTCGGTGGGAAGGTATTATAAGCACGAAAGAAAAAAGAAGAGAAAAAGCAAATTGAGCCTAAAATGAACTTGGGAGCTGTACTCCCCAAGTTCATTTTAGGCTCATTTAAATCGGTGCTCTTTTTTAATTTTAATTTTTTTGCAACAACTGTGCTTTTCAAAAAGCATTGCAGTATATTATGCAATTAATTTTTTTATAAATGACATTGTGTTTTTTATTTTAATTACGACGATAATTATACTTTTGTGAGAAAAATTATACTTTTGCGAGAGCCATAAATTGCTCTTTTTTTTTTAAACACAAAACTAAAAATTCTAAGTTCTTAAGTATGCACTTTGTGTACAGTACACAGTACACTCAAGCAACAATTTTCAATAGCAACACTATTGAGTGAAAGAAATTGCATTATCAGACATTGCATAATTTCAGGTGTATGATGACCCCGATCAACCTGCTACCTGCCCCATGTCCTGCTACTTTGTAGGATTTGCTTTCCTAGACAAAGGCTAGGAGAAATTAAATCCAGGTTAGGTCGGGAAGCGACTTGATTCTTGACTCAATGCGTGGGTATTGCTTGTGTCTCTATTTTTATGACTGGGCAACTCATTCTATTATCTCCTAATGAGGGTACAGCTCTAAAACTCAGTTTTATGGTTCTGAGGCCGGCTAGTAGTCAGGTTTCCCGAACTCTGTGGTAGCTCTTAGAGAGGCTGATTCAATCAACAGCCAAAAAATATCAGAGTACTAACAGTGCCATGTTGCGCATGGATGGTGTCCCTGTTTGTACTTTTGGTGTGCATTGCAGAGGCCACATTTGGAGCCCTTTGTTATGGCTTAGGGTTTATTAATAGTAATGAGGCTATTGCTTAGTTGTTAAATAGTGTACTGAGTACTATCTATTCTTGAGTCAAGTTCTTTATAAATTTAAAATGACTAAAGTACCTAAAACTAAAAAACACAAAAAACCATCGTCATCACCAAGTTCTCTAAACCTATCATTTACTAATATTCGTGGTCTTCGAAGTAACTTTTCTTCTGTTGAGTCTTATCTCTTGCAAAGTTCACCAGACCTACTTGCTCTTTGTGAGACTAATTTGAGTTCGGCTGTCCCATCTTGTGATCTTAGTGTTGATGGTTATCTTCCTTTAATTCGTAAAGACTCCAATAATCACATGCTTGGCCTGGGCATCTACATTCGTAAGAACTCACCCATTTGTCGTGAAACTAGGTTTGAATCTACAGACTATTCATTTATGTGCTTTCGTTTAGCACCACTTCACTCTATCGCCTTTCTCTTTGTTCTATATCGCTCTCCTTCATCCCAAGATTGCACTATTCTTGATGTTATTTCTGATCAAATTGACCAAGCCCTCTCTCTTTATCCATCGGTCAATATCGTCGTTGTTGGTGACTTTAATGCCCATCACACCGATTGGCTTGGCTCTAGTGTCAGTGACTCTGCTGGCGTTAAGGCCCTCAACTTTTGCCTTTCTCAATCTCTAACTCAAATAGTCAACTTTCCAACTCGTTTTCCAGACAACCCTAATCATTTACCTTCTCTACTCGACTTATGTCTTGTTTTGGATCCTAGTCAGTGCTCAATTTCTCCACATTCACCCTTAGGTACTTCTGATCACGGTTTGATCTCTCTAAAACTATTATCAAATTCTTCTACTTCATCAGAATCCCCCTATCATCGTACCACATACTACTACCTTAAAGCTGACTGGGACTCTTTCCGTGATTTTCTTCGTGATGGCCCTTGGGTAGAAATCTTTCGTCTTCCTGCTGACAAATGTGCTTCTTACATAACTTCGTTGATTCAGGCTGGCATGGAATCTTTTATTCCCTCTCGACGATTCCAGGTCAAGCCTCACTCTTCTCCTTGGTTTTCCTCACATTGCGCTGCAGCAATTTCTAATCGAAACCGTTACTTCCATATCTATCAGCAAAACAATTCTCCAGAAAACAGACATCTGTTCACTATCGCCAGAAACCATTGTAAAAAGGTTTTGTCTGACGCCAAAGCTCGCTATTACCAGGTCATTAAATCTCGTATCTCATCACAAAAATTAGGCTCTCGAGACTTCTGGAGAATCTTTAACAGTATCAATAATAAGGGCAAATCTGTTATTCCTTCTCTCTTGTATGGTTCAGACTTTGTCACCTCACCTAAAGACAAAGCTGAATTGTTTGCTAAGAACTTTTCATCAATATCATCTCTTGATTCCACTAGTTGCGTTTTACCTGACATAGCCGTCAAACAGGTTGATCCCTTGCTTGACATTCGCATCACTTCAGCTTCTGTATCTAAAGTAATTTCCTGCTTAGACTCTTCAACAGCTTGTGGTCCTGACAACATTCCTGTTGTAGTCTTGCAGAGGTGTTCTCCGGAGCTTTCATCCATACTTTCTAAACTATTTAACAAGTGCTTATCAGAGTCTTGTTTTTCATCATGCTGGAAAGCAGCATCTGTTATCCCTATTTTCAAAAATTCCAGAGAGCGATCTGATTCATCTAACTACCGTCCCATTAGTCTTCTTCCTGTCATAAGCAAGGTTTTTGAATCTTTAATCAACAAACACTTAATCTCTCATCTTGAATCAAATAACTTACTTTCTGATCATCAATATGGATTTCGGTCTTCTCGTTCTACAGCTGATGTGCTAACAGTAATAACCGATAGGTTTTACCGTGCATTAGATAGAGGTGGAGAGGTTAAGGCTATCACACTTGACATTTCTAAAGCTTTTGATAAAGTTTGGCATGCTGGTCTTCTCCATAAGCTTTCTTCTTATGGTGTAGCTGGTAACTTCTTTAAGATTATTGAGTCCTTTCTTTCCAATCGTAGTATAAAAGTTGTCCTCGATGGACAACACTCTTCTTCACATCCTGTAACTTCAGGGGTTCCTCAAGGTTCAATCCTTGGCCCTATACTCTTTTTAATTTACATTAACGATCTTCCAGATATTCTCACATCTAAGGTGGCATTATTCGCTGACGACACTACCATTTACTCTTGTCATGATAAGAAGCCTACACTCTCTGATTGCTTGGAGGGGGTATCTGAGCTTGAAAAGGATCTCACTTCTGCTACAGCATGGGGCTCACAGTGGCTGGTGAACTTTAATTCAGATAAAACTCAATTTTATTCGGCCAATCGTTATCGTAATAATTTAGA